CCCCCCCCCCCAGAAAAATAGTACCCAGCACGCCACTGTGTTAGTGTAAGTATTTTTTTGTTCAGAATAGCCTTGCATGAAATGTTTTTCAAAATCACCCCTCCCCCCCCCAAAAAAAAAAAATGGGCTGCCCCTAAGCTATAATCCTTCAGTAGTATATAGACTATAGCAGTTTATAGGATAAGTTTCGGCTGTTGCAAATCGTAATTTTTTCATAAACTATATGTGCATGGGACTAATATTATGGTCTATTGCGAGGTATGGTAAAGGTTCCAGTACAACTTTAGCTGAATACCAGGCCACAAAAATTGAGCTTAGTATATGCATGGCTATACTGGCTACTAATGCTGAAGATTAGAGAGGTGTGGGTCAGGGAACCAATTAATTGTGATTTTTTTGTTTTTTAACACTGAAACACCGTCCAAGGCAGTGCACACGACAAGACCGAACAAGGGTTAGCACAGGTTTACCATGGTTCAAGGCAATGCTGAATGTTATAGAAAAGGTTAGAAAAGGGTAGTGGGGGTGGATCAGGGAACTGACCAATTGTGATTTTTGTTTCTTTAGTAACACTGAAACACCGTAAGTACCATGTAGTCAAGTAGCCATGTAGACAGGTAGCCACGTAGTCGGGTAGCAATGTAGTCACGCAGCCACATAGTCAGGTAGCCACATAGTAAGGTAGCCACATAGTCAGGTAGCCATGTGGTCATATAGCCGCGTATAGCCATGTAGCCACGGGTTAAAAAGTGTGTTTTAAGTGGCCGTGTATTCTGAAGTTACTCCAGGGTTCCACTGAAAAGCATATACAACGTATGACGGGCTATGTTTCAAATAGCCATGATTATAAATTAATGGTTACGTAAAACTCACCTTTCATTAACATATAAAGAAACAATACCAGTCTGGCCAACACACAACCTTCTCTATCATTCAAAGTAAACAAGATTCTGTTGCTGTATGAATCTGGTAACGACGCACATGTCAACGCCACGTTTCGTAAATCACCAACACCGAGAATTAAGATTTTTAATGCCGATCCGTACGATCCGCCTTCGTTTTCGATTAAATTCAGGCAGTCAAACGCCGGCACGTTGCCCCAATAAAAATACTGACAAGCAGACGCAGTTTTCTCAGAGCGTATAAAATAATGCGTCAAAATAAGTTGGGTTGTCGTTTCTATAATCTCCTTGACTTCCAGACAGTCAATCTTGTGCCTTCCCCAATTGCCTTTCTGGCATTTTGCATCACAATAGAAAGCTCGATAGCATCCAGTGCAAGCTTTTAGATTTGGACCACTTTTTCTACACGTCTTGCATGTCTTGAGGATCGACGCTGGAATGCATTCGGCCTCGTGTCGAAATATGTCATTTCTTTGACATTTTTCACTGCAGTATTTGGCAATTTCGCACAAGTTACAAATAATGCCAACACCAACTGTATTTCCACAACGCCAACACTCTGAAAATCTGGGCATTCTATACTGAGAAATGGTTTATAGGGTTTCGCACACAAAATAGAGAAGGGCAGAAGCTTCACTCGGTTTTCACTTGTTTCCAACCATCAAACTGACGTTACGTCATTTGATCAATTTCTAAAGTTGTTTCTTTTTGGATTTTTTTCATTAATTTGGTTAGGGTTAGAGTTAGGGTTGCGGTTAGGGTTAGAGGTTAGAGTAGGGGTGGGGTTTGGGTTAGTTACATCGCCATTTAACACCTCTTCCATTTTCCGAAAATGCCGTCATGTCAGTTTGGTAGATGGAAACAAGTGCTGACCGCTTCACTCGAGTCGGAAAGTGGTCGGAACCTTTGAAGTTTTTGTGCCGGCACATGTTACTTCCGGATCTTGGCCGCCATGTTGAAAGCAACCAACTCTGGTCCAAAACATTATAAACTAATATGGCGAAACTTGTATTTCATAACTTTAAATGGGTATATCGTCGTTATTTTATGGTGGATGTCATTGGAATTTTCAGGACGTACTAAAGAAAGGTAGATTATTCATTTTATTATAATAAAAGCTTATTGAATTATGCTAAAATTGTCATTTTAAACGCATTGCAAACTGTTATGTGCTGTTTTGGCACCGATGGATATATACGCATTATGTTGTTTTTCTGAGTGTAGTTTGAAACTATTGCAACCACTATTCCACTTAACTTGAAGAAAAATACGTCATGTCTTGTTTTTAGAACGCAGTAGGTTGAATTTTTTTAATTTTAGGCGCATATTATACTGTGAATATCCTTATAATTCGTACTACTATTCGTACTAAATTATATACCTGATCAGTAAAAGGGGATGTGATGTCTTTGTATTGAGCTTCTTTTCTTAATTAACAAAAACGTTTTTGGACTAAACTAAGTAAACTGCGCGAGTAGAATCCATTTTCACCAGAACTGGTTTTATGGTTTATAATTTGTAACTTTGATATTAAACTTTGATTGCTGGTGACAGTAATGCACCTATCAATGTTAAGCCCCAGAGGGGGGGGGGGGTTCGGGCATAGGTGGGGCATTTGATTTTTTGAGCAAATTTTCAATCAAATGCCCCACCGTCGGGCAATAAATATTGGTCAAATGCCCCACTATTTTGCAATAAATTGCAATAAATACTATATTAAATTAATAAAGGTTAATTGGTTCAAATTGCCCCAACTTGGGGCCAAAATGCTGATCAAAATCCCTAGGGTGGGGATGCAATTGATGATCAAATACCCCACATATGCCCCCCCCCCCTCTGGGGGTTAACATTGATAGGTGCATAATGAGTACGATATTTGTTCACATCTATATCAAACAATTGATGGTGGAGCAGACTAACTTGCCAGAAGTTACAGTTCATGACCCAAAATTGCAACACACCAATCTCATGTAGATTTACTGAGCAAGCACCATCTTAATTAATGATTTCACCTGTTACAATTACCATCAGCATTGTTAGGTTTACCATCTTAGTGAAGGAGCGAGACTAATTAGGCTCCAAAATAATAAAATATTGCACATTCAAACTGTGTAGCTCAGTCTGGAATGCATTGGTCTTGTAAACCAGGGGTTGTGGGCTGCATTCTTACTGTGGTCAAGTTGATTTTTCAGCTTGCCTGGTATAGATTTACTCAGTGTAGCAACCATACCTAATTTTAGTGTGCAGTGATAACCAATTTGTGCAGTGATAAAAGTAAAATGTGCAGTGATAAAATGTAAAATGTGCAGTGATAAAATTTGCTTTGATAAGTTGTTAATTAACACAAGAGAAAGATTTAATTGAAATTGAAATGATGACTGCCAAATTATCGAATTAAATAATAGTATCTGTTTTTTGTACGAAAATCATGAGATTCAGGCAATTTTTAGTTAATATCTGGATTTTGGTATGTCCGGAAAAAATTTTTGACCCTTAAAATGGTACACTGACCAAAATTTTTTTGGAAATTTTCTTAGTCATTCGGAAATTTTTGGCATAAAATGTGCAGTGATAAAAAATTCTTAAAATTAGGTATGGTAGCAACATCTTAGTAATTATTTAACACCAGCCTTGTATTTTACAGTTCAGTTCTTATGTACTTTGGTGTAAAAGATTTTAAGCAATATAACTTGTAGAAGTTATATTGCTTAATTGTTTTGGCAACACAGCATATTGTCCAGTGCATATGGTTAAAGGCACAGTTCAGCCTGTTGAACGATGGTTTTTAAGGCGCATTTCAGCCCTTTTAATTGAAAAAACTAACTAGGAAAATCAATTAAGCATAATTCAAGATCACCAAACTCGATGTTTTTAACATTTTAAAACATTTTTATTGTTAAAGCATCAAGTTTACTGATTTTGAATTATACTTAATTGATTTTCCTAGTTAGTTTTTTCAATTAAAAGGGCTGAAATGCGCCTTAAAAACCATCGTTCAAAAGGCTGAACTGTGCCTTTAAAGATGTGCTACCTTCAAATATTTTCTGTTCTTCTTTTTAGTGTTGGAAAGTTCACAATTGGCAAATTTCAAGCTGTAGTAAATGCACAACCTCAAAAACAATTTTTGTATCTTCCTTGATGTAGTCCAGAAAGCAATTTGTTGGAACATGAAGACCTTCAAATGTGTTTTCTGTTTGATCAAAGTCCTTAAAGAAACAAAACTGCTTCCTGTTATCATCTAGTTTATTACATTGGATGGCATTTGTGCATGTAGGACAGTTGCAGATCTTAATAGATTTATGGATCTAAACTCAAATTTATGGAACTAAATTATATGGATTTATGGAACTAAAATCAAATTAAATATGGATTGATAATATGGATAAAAAATATGGATTTATGGAACTAAAATCAAATCAAAGTGTTGTTTACATTTTTGGAGTTGTACAACTTGTACTCAGTAGAATACACTAGATGTTAAAGTTTCATTTACTTGGTTCCCTTTGTAAAAACAACACTACAACTTACATGCACCAACATCTGATTTGTTGCAAGTTGAAACCAGTTTTATTGCCTGATATATTTTACTCTGCCAACAAGTCTTAATAACTAAGGGGCTATTTACATGAGCCCGACTAGTCCTGTTAAGCGAGGCACCCAGCTTAATACAAATCATTTAACAGGAATCTGCCTAGCCGAGATCTCACTTGAGTCAAATGGGATGCCCGGATAACCGGGCTTCAAATTTCTCCATGTAAAGTCACCAGCTCAGGTAACCTCCTGGCTAGCCAGGCCTTCAGCCTGGTTAACCGGGCCAGCCTGCATGGCTAGCCGGGCTCATGTAAACAGCCCCTAAGGTGATAGCAACAATAATATACTTGGTGCTAAATGTAACATAAACTTGAAACAGAGAAAATTCTCATATTCAGATTATTTTCCCCTCATTGTAGAGTAAACTGTTAATATGTATCTTAAAAACTAGAGTGTATATTAGAATCTCACAGATTTATAATTTAAACTGTCGTTAAGATAAATCAGGTCTCTTATTGTCTGTTTTGTAAATGAAGTTCCCTGATTCATCCAAGCATTGATCTTTAAACTATTTTTTCAATATCAATGAACAGTCATGATAATGTCATAGGAGGCCTTGTCACTTGTGATACCAAATTTGTAAAGTCACAGCCAAAGGATTTCAATAGGTTCAAGTCAATATATTATCCCCAAAATTCATTTTTGAAGAAGTAGGTCCAGCAATTTCTTTCATATCGCAATATTATTTTATATTAAACGATTGTAGGCCAATATGCCAAGTTGAATTACACTGTATTGAATAGGTGATCCCAGATTCACAGAAGGTTCGATGAACTCGATTTATTTCCTTCATTGTTCATGGCATTCACGTCCTTAATCCTTTTGTACACCATGAAATATCACCAACCTATCACTCAAAACATATTTTACGGCGATCGGACTAACCACACATAAGCTATATAACTTTATATGTTTATCACTATTCGCCAAAGACCGACGTGAAATTAATCTATGTATGACAATGGCCAAATTCCACGCTTAAATTCGTTTCTCATCCTCATAGTAACAATTAAATCAAAGAACAACCTCTTCTTTATGATATTTCAAAGTATCATGAGTTTTGCTTGGATACATAAAAAGCTAGAGCACTTTTAGTGGCTCTATTTCGTATTCCGCCATATTAACTCCTATAAAATTTCCTCTGGTTTGGTTGCTTTCAACATGCCGGCGGCGGCATGTACTAAAAGGCGAAACGTCGAAACGAAACGACCGAAACGAAACGGCCGAAACCATCGAAACCACCGAAACGACCGAAACGAAACGACCGAAACA